CCCCGCCCTCCACCACCTCCTCCTCTCTCACCCAGGATCACTTCCGAAACCACTTCGCCTTCAGCCCCTGCCTCGGCCAGAGGTTTCATTTTTAACTGAATATTTACAAAAGCTGGAAGCGTGCGAGGGGGTGGGGTGGGGTGGAAATAGCGGCTGCTTCTTTTCCAGGGATTTATTTAATGGGGATGTGTTCAAGGCAAGAGCGAATTCAGAAGGATATCGACGTCGTGATCCAGAAGTCCAGAGCTGAGAAGGACTGCCTGTTTGCAGGTGAGTTCTCGCCTTTCCAGAGCCTCGGACCCAGCTCCAGCTTCCTCTGCCTGCCCGTCACCCCCTTTCCCAGTTTTCTGGCCGCGACGTGTGTGGCTGGGGATAGGGGGTGGGTTGCACGTCCCCATTCCCGGGTTCATTTGGCAACAGCTGCGGCAGCGGGAGCGGGAGCCAAAAGGGGGAGGGGGGTGCCAGCCTCTCCCCTTCTCCCCTCCCCCCTCTGGGGCGGCCACTAGCTTTGGGGGCAGAGCCCTGATGGCCCGAGCGGGGGTCTAGGCAGGGGAGCCTTGCATTGTATTTTTAGTCCCCGGTGAACGCCCGGAGCGTCCGAGCCCGCCTCCGGGGTTTCAGCAGCAGCGACCCAGGCGGCGGGTTGGACTCGCCGGGTTTGCGCAATGGGCAGAGCAGCGGCGGCGGCTGCCGGGAATGGAGCCCGCTGCGCTGCGCGGCGGTGGCCGGCTGAGCCCGGCACCGAGGCCCCCCGGGGGGCAGCGCTGGGCCGATCTCCCGCCCCTTCTGCTCCCTCTAGTACCTCCGACTGGCAGTGCGATGCCCCGGAAAGAGAAGGGATTCCCGACGTTCCGAGGCGCGCGCCGCCCCTGTCTGGGGGTCGCCTTTCGTCCATTTTGCTACCCCGGGAAAAGGACTGGATTTTGCTTTCGCAGCCGCGACCTCGGCTGGGGCCGCTTCCGGCTGTCCGGACCGGGAAATTCCCGCCGTTGCCATGGCACCCGGCACTTGTTGCGGGGGGCGGCCTCCCGCGGCACCCAGCACGGGGTGCAAGGCATCCCCTCCCGCACCACTCGGAGAGCGGACCTAGGGGCTCTCCAGCCCTGGCCTCCCGCCCTGTCCCGCCCCGCCCCGCCCCGCCCCGCCAGGTTTCTCTGCGGCTCCATCTAATAGGGGGCCGGAGCCATGACCAGGGTTAAAAATCCACAACAGGGCTAGCTTTTAACAAGACTTTTCGTTTCAGATTTCAGATACTCAGACTCCACCTTTACTTTCACCTACGTTGGCGGCCCCAAAAGGTACTTATGTGTAGAGTTGCTTCATTTCCTGTTCACAGGCTTGTGTTTCCTTTGTTCTTAGCGTGTTCCGTGTTCCGGTATTTTTTTTTTCTTCTTCTTCTTCTTCTCTTGTTGTCTTTTAGCCACGTCCCAAGCCTGAGGTCCCTCGATTTTAAATGGCAGAGGGGAAAGAAATATGTTTGATTCAAGTGTTTCTAAGATCACGCCACGGGCCATGAACAGAGCTCTCACACTCTTCGTGTTAAAGCTGTTCTACAGTAGTAGCTAGCTCTTGAGGCTTTAGGGATTGACATAGGCGAGTGCAAAACCTGAATACTGGGCATAAGACATAACATGTCACAGAATAGTTTGGTCACATGTGGTGATTCTTCTGGTGAGCTGGGGCTGCATGTTTCCATGTTTTCTGAAGGTTGACATAAACATGCAGTGTGCCAATTCTCCATGCTTTTTTTTTTTTTTTTTTAAGGGGTCCTATTTTGGTGTTCATAGTTGGAAAGAATTTGGGAGTTATATGTAGCTGGAGTGTATAACTTCTTTCTTGAAGAGGAAGAATGAGAGGTGCATATATTAATACTAAGTTGTTAACAGTATGAAAGAAGCCCAAATCCAATTTTGTGTTTAAAGAGTTAGAGATGAAATGAAAAGTAATCATTAAAATATGCTTTGCTGTCTTCACTTGTTTAGGTAGAATTTTCTCCCTGTTAGCCCTTTGGGGACACAGTGGTTTAAAAGAGCAGTGGCCACATATGAGATCTGTCAGAGTTTTAGCCTTGCTGTTCGGACTTGACATTCACTACCATTTGATCATATTCCAAAATATGTCTTAGCTAATGGAAACATTTATGAACATATAAATTGCAAAAGAAGCTTTCTTCTGTAACTACATTTTTTACAAGCTTGGAATTGTTACGAATCTTAAAAATGCTTAGGATCTGTGTTGCAATGTACATCTCAAAAAAGCTTTCATTGAAATAGTTATTCAGGTTTCCCATATGCACAGTATACCTAAGTGTCAGGATTGGTATATTGACTTGATTCACTGGTTGAAAATATAACATATGGACTTACTGGGGGAGAATAAAATTACAGTATTTCTCAGTTTCCTATAGTACCATCATTTTTGAATAAAAAGAATCAATTAGAAGAGATTAAACTAAATTAACGCTGCTCCTACACTTGCTATCTAGAGAATGTTGGTGTATGACTAATAATCTCTAGAGTTGTTTTAATAGTTAAAATATGCTGTGTGGCCCACTGAAAACATTCCCCGTGCAGTCAGGTTGATACCTGCTTGAGTTGTCTGTTTCACAGTTGTGGTTCATCTCATGAGAGGTGCGGACTGGGAAAGCCCTGGGTAGGCTTTTTAACTAACTAGCTTTACTATTTCCAATAAGATAGTAGAGTTGTTTTGGCCTCCGTTTACTTATCTGTACAAGGGAAAGCCCTGGGTAGGCTTTTTAACTAACTAGCTTTACTATATCCAATAAGATAGTAGAGTTGTTTTGGCCACAGTTTACTTATCTGCACAAGGAGGAGGTGAGCCTTACACTTAATCTCTGAGATCTGTTAGATACTGCACTAAGATTGTTTATCAGCAAATTACTGAACTAGTGTCAACACAGCAAGAGGTGAAGGTATGAACGCCTCCAGGAGCAAGGCCTGGAGGTTGGGATGAATAATTAACTAATTGAGATAACGTAAGTTTTCACTGTAGGAACAAGTTTCCTTTTCTATGTTATCCTACTAAGAGAGAGTTTTTTCCTTTGGTTCCTGATTTAAATAATGGGGAACTTGCATATCTAATGTGGAACAGTCTGCTTTTTAAAGATGTGTTGTGAATTGTTGATGTGATTGCTTTGTCTTCCCAAAAGCTTGTTCTATAAACCAATATATAAAAGATTGTTTTGGTACAGTAATAATAGTACCCTTAATGATTATCCCTTTATGGGTTTGTAGCTAATGGCATAAAATAAATTTTCCGAAAGAAAAAATATTGTTTTCATGAACTACATTATCTACATTAGAGTCTGATATTTATTATGTATTTCTCATTGCTGTGTGTCAGTCGGGCATTTAAAAATCAAATAATCCTCCTCTGTTTTGATTTAATATGCTTATCAACTTGTAATATTCAATTAATAGTGTCATGTCGGGATAACTAGACGTATTTCCGGATTAAAGGAAGGTGGGGATCTTATGGAGAGATAGTACATGTTTATCTTGAATTATATTTTACTATCATTTCATCTAAACCATTGAAAACATTTATTTTTGAGAAATGATTTCAAGAATAATTTTCAATTCAAGTTGTAGATAAAACAATCTGCTCTTTTGTGTCTGACACTCTCCAAGAACAATTACACTTTGTTCTAGGACAAAAGTTGATGTTACATGTTACCCTTCAAAAAAAGAAATAATATTGAGAATTTGTTTTACACGTAAATTTATTTGTGTTTCTGTGGATAAGAGGAAATGCCAAGAGGCCACTGTGTGAGGACTGCCTGCTGTCCTAGTAAATTGGCCTGTCATTCAGAGGTTGTGAGAGGGGCAGAGTTCCTTTTACCATTTGCTCTCCTGCCTGGGAGGACTTCAGGTGAGGATTGAGGGGGAGCAGACGGTCAGCTGGAAGACTGGGTTCACTTAGTTCTCCCTCACGGGAAGGTTCATGGAATTATTATTATCCTCAGCTTTGGATTGGATTTGCAAACTGAGGCTCAGAGAGTTTAGAAAACATGCTCAGATTTACTCAGTTACTGATGAAGCTGCCATATGAACCCTGTTACGTCACACTTCTGAGACCTGTGCTCCTTCCTCTACACTAGTGTTCCCAACCTCTTTGAGACACTCGAACATCAAAAAAATTATGCAGATCTTTACTTGAGAGCTGTAGTGTTAGTGGCATTTGATTGAGAAATAATGAGAAAAGTGTTAAATGTTAAGAATTGATGGGCTTCCCTGGTGGCGCAGTGGTTGAGAGTCCGCCTGCTGATGCAGGGGACACGGGGTCATGCCCTGGTCCGGGAAGATCCCACATGCCGCGGAGCGGCTGGGCCCGTGAGCCATGGCCGCTGAGCCTGCGCGTCCGGAGCCTGTGCTCCGCAACGGGAGAGGCCACAACAGGGAGAGGCCCGCATACCGCAAAAAAAAAAAAAAAAAAAAAAAAAAAGAATTGGTAATACCATCTACATATGCTTGAAAACTTGTGTTATACATAGGGCAAGATTGACTCATTGTAGCAATGGTCCTTATAATGCTTCTGACTTCTGGGCTTCTTGGAAGAACTCCACAGTCATCAGTGGTCCAGGGCCTGCTGTAGGCTCCCACCGAATGCTGCCCCCCATTTCAGGGGTGTGCTAAGAACTATAAAACTGGAAGCCTCAACTGTATACAATTTGTAAGTTTATGCAAAAGTCATTCCTTCCTTGTACTTTGTCATGCTGTGATCTCCTGCCTCCTTCTTTCTCCTTTTTTGGTTGGCAGTAAACTCCTTTCAGACCACTAAGGTTTGGGGTTATGGTCCTTCATCTCACTTGCAGTCAGTTGTGCAGTTAGTGGTAGAAGAAACAGAAGGGATAAAGTGGGTGGTGACAGCTACTGAGAGGCTGGGGAAGCAGGCTGAGTGTCTGGGGCCAGAAGTTAACAAAGACAGAGAGAGAGCAGGGAGAGAGCCCCACATGAGCCTGGCCATGGACCGCTGTGGGATTCCCTGATGGTGAGCTTTTAGCAAGATAAGTATTGTGAAGATATAATTGAAGTTTTAAGTGTTGATTGTTAAAAAAAAGAAAAAAAAAAAGGAAAAAAAGGTAAGCCAAAAAGAAGAAAATTTTAAAAAACATGATTTCTCCATCTTCTATTAACATATTAGAATTTATTCTTTCAGAATTTTTATGTCTATATGCATGTAAAATGTATGCATCCAAAGACTGTATTATACTCTTGAGACCTCAAGAGTTTTTCACCTAAGAATATGACATTAATGTCTTTCCTTTAGAAAGAATATGAAAGTAAAGAAATGTTTATTGAATTAGGAGTTTTCCAGTCAAGGAGTGTGCATGATAAGAAATCTAAAATTTATATTAGAAATTATTAATAAATTAGAAATTTAATATTTAGTGGAATGTTCAGAGTTGCCTGTAAATGTACAACCTGTATTGTATGAATAGACACTTTTTCATGTGGTCATGGGTAGATTGACATCTTCGAAGTGCACTCTTCTCTTTTAGGAGTTTCTGTTCACATAACTGTTTTGGAGTGTTCTGTGTGACACTAACAGTAGTACTCCACAATCTCTCAAATCACGTGCTACCTCCTCTTTCTCCTGGGCCTTTGCACACCCATCCTCATCCTACCCTCCCACCTCTCCCACCTCTCAACCCTAGTCAGCTTTCCTTGTCGAGATCTTTGCTAACCCAAATTCCCCTCTGAGAAGGCTTTCCTGGCATCCTCTACCCTGTTTGATTTTGTTAGGTGTTTCTAAAATCATGTCACATTGTATTGTTAGCTACTGTTTACTTGATCATCTGCCTGGCCATAAGCCTCTCTGAGGCAGGGTCTGTCTTATTCATTGCAATTTGCCCAGCCCTTCGTGCACTGCCTAGTACTATATATTTTCTCAGTAAGTAGATGTTGAATGAATCACTAAATGAATGCTAAAAGGGCTTCTGGCAGGTGAAAAACAATTTCCTAACCCAAATGACCAGGTGTAGAGATACTCAAATAGTTCAAAAAGCCCCCAATCTGGTGACGTCACTTGGACTGGAATTTCTTATGAATCCAGAAGTTGCTTACCCAAGTTATAAGCCCCGTTCTCTGCCCTGTTCAAATGCTTTCAGGAGACAGATAATGCAATTGCTTAGGATAATAGAGAGTTATAAGGACTGTGGTACACTGGAGAGTTTGGTTTCTAAAAGTATTTAATTCAGTTAAAAAAGTCAACACCACTTTGGTGATCAAGCACATCTTCTGGGGACCCTAACCCACCTGGACTCCCAGTGTATAAT